GAAGATTCATAACCAGCACAGCTTTGGTAACAGTTGATATGACAGGCCAGATTTCTGGTCTTAGAAACAGGTTAATTTGGATTAAAAGTCATATAGTTTTAACAATTCAAAATATAAAACTATTTAGCTTGTTAATTTCTTTATTAACCTCATAGCTTGAATCCATAGTTGTCCTAGTGGTGAGAACATAACCAAAACAGTTTGTGAGGTCCCAGAGTTCTGCAGCTGCCTCTGCTCGGCTGTCTCAGGATGAGGCACCTGCAGCCACTGGGCTCCCTCAGGGCAGCAGCACCTGGGGCAGCCTGAGAGGGCACTTGGCTGGGACACTGCTGCACTTACAGACTGGTGGCTTCTTACATGCAAAGTAAATGAAAACACTGAGAAAGGCTCTTTGCCCTTTGTCGAATTGCCATCCCCTTTTGGTATTTATTTTTCAACTGTTCCTGCTGTGACCACAGTACTCTAAACAGAATGGGTGTAAACATGTTCCATTGGCTCTTTTTCAGCCACAACAATAATGTAGTATTATTATTCAGTAGCCAAAACTTGTCCCTGGCCATTAAATTTCTAACTAAGCTTTATTCTCTCTTTATGAAAAATCAGAAGTGGCTCACTGAGCCAGAAGATATATTTTAAAATAATTATACATTTTCTTCTACTTTGTTTCTAATTTCATATATGGTCTGAAATGATGGTCCATATTTTATATGCTTTTTAATTCAATAAAATTTCTGTAGGACATAGTTATATTTTTCTAACTTGAAGGACAGCATATTGGTATTTTAAAATAATATATTTTACACAAAACAAGCAATGCTTGTATCACTGACTGTTCCACAAGAAAGTAAAAGATAAAAATATTACAGTAGGTAAGAGGTATCCTTATTTTTTCATACTGTAAGCTTCGTTAAAGAAGTGGGTCTGTAGCTCAAACCTGTACTGATATATAAGTATAGTTACTTTTTGCTGGGGTAATTTGTCTTTTGTTGTACATAGAAGGACTAACATAAACTGTATATTTATAGACAGAACTGATTTCGACCACATGCCTGTTTCACAAGGATAAAATAATATGCTGACATAAGGCAATGCTGGAAGGAAATGACTAATGTATAATTGCAGTCTTGTAAAAAGTGGTATTCTAAGGAGAAATTACCTTTTTCTGTAAATGTCTCTATTCTCTGTGTGTACAGGATTCTGTAGAGTAAGACAATAAAACCAGCTGAGTATCTGTGGAATTTCTGCTGTTGTACATTTCTGCAAAATAAATTAATCCAAAAATTTATGATACCAGCCTACATAAGGTACAGAATAATAAAAGAAATGTGTACAAAGGAAGTAAATTGTCATATGGTTTTTCTTGACTAGATATGGATGGTTTAGAACATTTTTATTTGGAAATATTTTCTAACCATTCAACAGTAGTTGGATTAAGTGCTCACTTTGCAGGCATAATTTTTTTTCATTTGCTGTGCTGTGTATGACAGGAAATCAGATGGCTTGATTTAATGTAAGCAAGTAAAAACTGTTTTTGATTGTAAATCAGTTGTGGAAGACTGCAGCCTGTTGAGGATCTGTAAACTAAAATTTGCACTGAATAACAGTATTCTAATAGTCAACTGCATGAAAACATAGGGAGCCTTTTGAATAGCAATCAGCTATTCAAAAATAGTTTATCAGCTATTCAAAAAATTCAGCTATTCAAAAAAGGTTAGCAGAGCCAAATTCCACTTCCACTCTTCCAAGATTTTCTTTAGCAAAAATATATTCTATGAATATTGATAATTTACATGATTTTCACATTTAAAATTATTTGTTTGAAATAAATTCTACATTTACATATATAATGTATTGGTATTGTATTTGCTTTTCACATGCTGTGAATGCAGCAGATTATAAAAAAAAAAATCCAGCATCCATATGGTTGCCAACATCATCAGGGTGCTGATGGCCAACAAAGCCATGGATTGAGCAGGGCAGGCAGCCTTGGTCCATCTGGCAGCTGTTGCCAGCAGTCACATCAGCTGCTGGGCTCAAGCAGGATGTGCTGTCTTCTTGTGTCCTGCCAGCTGACAAGTCTCCAGCACATAAAATAGTTTTCCATCCGTGGTAGAATCTTTACAGTAGATATATTAAGCCCTTAGAAAGCTGTATGCCTGCAACTTGCCTTGAGGTGCCAATACTCCATGTAGAGGCCAAGAGTAAGGTGATGGCTCCACGTGAAGATCCCTTCAGCTGCAATTAGGCCTGAGAGAAACCTGTCTGCCACGTGCCGTGTAATAGTGTGAGACTAATCACAGTCTTGCAGCCTTAATTACTACAGCCAGTTTTGTGGTACCTGAGCAGTCCTTCAGCCTGGCTTCAGGAAGAAAACATGGTTTATGCACTATGGTCGTTTCTCTGTCCACCCAGTAGGTCATGCATGTACTCAGATGATCTTTGAGCATTCTCCCATCTTTATGACATTTTAAAGAAGGGACAGAAATGTCATGGTTTCATCAAAGGATGTCAGGTTGGGTGTCACTTCAGAAGGTCTATGGTCCAGCCTCCTGCTCACAGCAGATTGGCTTCGAGGTCAGGGCTGGCTTTTTAAGGCTTCATCTATTTGAGGCTTGAAAATCTCTGAAGATGGAGACTAGACAGTCTCTCTGGGCAACCTATGCCTCAGCCTATAAAATGGAGATGTTACAGGGTGACCATCTTTTCTTTCAACTCATGCCACTTGTCCTTCATCCTTCTGCCCTACACCATCTCATGATCTTCCTGGGGGCTTCTGTGAGGTCCACCCCCTCATCAAAGGGACCTTAACAGGCTTAGCAAGTCCAGCTGCCCCAGTTTCTCCTTGCAGGGCTGGTGCTCCAGCTCTGCCATCTCAGTGGCTTCTCCTGGATTTGATCCAGTTTATTGATGTCTTGTACTGGGGAGCACAAGGCTGGATGCAGGATCTAGATGAGGTCTAACAAGTACTGAGTGGAGGTGGATAATGACTCCCCTCGACTTCTGCCCTTGTTCCTTCAGCCCAGGCTGCTGTTGGCCACTGTTAGTGCCATTGATGGCCCATGTCCCTCCATGCCCACCAGGACCCCCAGAGCCGTTCCCTCAGAGCTGCTCCCAGCCCATACCTGGGGTGGGGTGGCTATTTCCCAGGGAAAGGGGTGCAAGAGCACCATCAGGCCCTGATTCCTCTGACTCTCCCTGCCCATGGGCACTGTTTCAGCCCAGCCTGGGGCCATCAGTCCCTGCCCCACTGATGGCATAGGTCATTGGTCTCCATCTCTCCTCTGCCCTCCCTGCTGTGGCCCTCTCTGCAGGCTGACAACCGCAGGACAGCAGCTATCCCAGAGTGGTGTCTGACCCTGATTCCCCTCACAGGGACTGATCCTGATCTGCAGATTGATGTCCCTGCCTGACCTCAGCCCTGCCATCCTGAAACACTACACAAGTTTTTTCTCACCTCTTGGAAGCATCAAACATGGTACACTGTGGCTATCTGAAGCGAGGGAATTGAAGAGACTAAAGACAAAAGCAAGGAGGAAACCAGACTTGGTAATTCCTCCTTCAAGGAACCTGTTTTTCATTGTTTGTATGCATAAAGACTTGATGTTCATGTTATTCAAAACCAGGCAGAATCCATTTGTGCTCTCATTGCTTTGCATGTGAAAATCCAGGCTTGCCCAAAAGCTAGATTTAATTCTCCTACAGCCTTGTAAGCCCTCCCATCTACTCATACCTTGAAATACTTTTTAGTAGCAGCAAATGTTAATAATGATAAAACAACCTTAGGAGACAAATCATTGGAGTTTTACCCTCTTTACTTGTAACCCACATTTTAAATCCGTGAAATTATTTTGTTGTTATATTTTCTAGAGGATGATACCGTGATCCTTTTTTCCCCCCTCACCAAGCATCACAGCACTGATGAGAGCCACCAGCAGCATCTCACCCACAGACCTCAGGAGCACCTGGGCATGGGTGCATGGTCTGAGCCTCCTCTCTGGGACAGGGAGCTAAGCCCAGTGATAGGGAATCAGGTGTCAGTGAGTCCTAATAGGATCCCTGCTCTGTCCTTCACTTTAAATTCAATTGCTATGAGAAATCTTAAAAACAGTGAGGAATTTCAAATTATGTCAGGTTTGTTGGTTTTTTTTGGTTTTTTTTCCCTTTTATAGCAATCACTGTACATCAGCTGACACAAGGCAGTAACAATAAGCTATAGAGAAAGACGATTTTTTCCTCTCTAAATTCCAGGCCAGCTCTTCAGCTGCTGGTTGAGTGTATCCTTAACCACAGGTAACGCGTTCTTTGAGAGAGGGCGACACACCCCCCGATCATCTGCTCCTCAGCGTCCCGCAAAGCGCCCACAGTCAGGGAAGAAAAACCTCTCGGGACAGGCAGCCGCAGCCCAGCGGCTCCGAGCCCGCTGCCCGCTCTCAGAGCGCCGTGCTGCATTTCCCGCTGCCCGGGGCAGTGCCCGGCTCCGAGCCCGCTCTCAGAGCGCCGTGCTGCATT